TGTATGTATGTAGATGTATGTATGTAGATGTATGTATGTAGATGTATGTATGTAGATGTATGTATGTATGTATGTATGTATGTATGTATGTACGTATGTATGTGTGTTTGTATGTATGTATGTATGTATGTACATATGTATGTATGTATGTATGTATGTATGTATGTATGTATGTATGTATGTATGTATGTATGTATGTATGTATGTATGTATGTATGTATGTATGTATGTATGTATGTATGTATGTATGTATGTATGTATGTATGTATGTATGTATGTATGTATGTATGTATGTATGTATGTATGTATGTAAGCATGCATGTATGCATGTAAGCATGCAAGTATGCATGTATGCATGTAAGTATGCATGTATGCATGTAAGTATGCATGTAAGCATGCATGTATGCATGTAAGCATGTAAGCATGTAAGCATGCATACATGCATACATGCATACATGCATACATGCATAGATGCATGGATGCATGTGTGTATGTGTATATGTAATAAGCAAACTTAAAATTTCGCCCAAAAAATCTGCAAAAAATGTGTAAAACACGTCTCAAATGATTTTTCATATAGATCCTTGGAAACGAAACGCGAAACATCAACCACATAAACTTTAACCCCCATTTCCACCAAGGAGGGATGGATTTTGCAAAGAGTGCGAAGCACCCATCAGATGAATTTTGACAAAGATCTTTAAAAATGTTCTTGAAGCCGATCGGCAGGTAAGCAAACAACTTTCATACAAACGGTTTTCGCTAATTAACCACTAATGTGGGTATAATTCTACAAATCGCTGAAACACTTTTACACTCAGTTCTTATGTAGATCTTTAAAAATAAGTTTGATGCAAATCGGACAAAACTTAAGACCTAGCCCAAAAATCTTTAAATCGCATTATCCACCGAGAAAGCTTGGATTCCGCGTAAAGTGTGAAACACGTCTCAAATGATTTTTCGTATAGCTCTTTAAAAATTAAGTTGAACACGAAACTTCACCCACCTAATCTTCCTAGCTCTTACGGCTTGGGCTATGCGTTGATCACCAATCAGTCAATCAGTCAGATTTCTATCGCTCGCCTTTCTATGTGATTTTCATAAGTTGAAGTATTGCGAATTTTAAAGTTTTTCTATTTTTGTATGAACGCATATATATTAGTAATGTAATGAAATACGATTTGTTTCATCATACCCTCCACACTTAAATGAGCATACATTTATAGTGGGTTAGCTTTAGGGAAAAATAAACAGTCTTGGCTTCGTCTTAAATGGCGAAAGGGACATGAAGTCGTATCACTTTGTTGCCACAGACCACAGGTGTCCCGCTGAGTCGACTGGCATTTTAAAGCCTTACCTTTGGGTTTAGCTTACATATATGTACGAAATACTATGTAATCATTGGAATTACAACGAAAATTCATAACAATGTTTTAGACAGACATAATACACACTTCGCACACAACAAACTTGCAGTTGTTGCTGTGTGGGTGTGCGTGTGAATGTGTGCGAAATATCAAATGGTTTACGGCGGCAACACATGTCAAGGAATCACAACAGACACAAAAATAAGAACGAAGAATAAGCTACAATGATTGACTGCATGATACCCAGTCTTACCTTAATAAATTCTAATATTTTGGTTTTATCCATTTGAATTTTGAAAAACTTTCATCTAATTTAAAGCAAAGAAATAACAAAAAAATTGACATCTTGAGAAAATCATTAAATTTATTTGATGATTTATTATGAGCAATACTTCAACCTTATACAAACATATCAATTTAACTTATGTACATCATATATGTAAGGAAAAGAAATCTTTCAATTTGTCTCATAAGCCCAGGGTATATATAAATAGCGACAGCTGCAAAGGACCCGCCGCAACGGACCCCAAAATCATTTTACCGAACATTTTGAGAATTGTTGAAAAAGATTTTTTAAAAGGCAACACACGCCCATGCAATGGGCGTATTTGTTTCCCTTTGCGGCAGGGCACCCGACTCCAACTCCAGTCAAATCGTTAAAAGATGTGTGAAAGGCGGTGAAAAGGCGACGCGTCGGCGGAAACAAAGGATTGCGCTGGCGTTAAAGGTTAAGCTACGTATAAAATTACTTCGGGCGAACGCACAGCTGTGCTCCCATAGATATTTGGCTGTCTTTATAATTCAGATTTGTGTGGGTGGCATTTGATTTGTGGTGCTAAAATATCAGAGGCGAAACTTCAAAAGCTCTCTGGCTCAGCGCTCTCTCATATTCAATTAGCAGACAGAAATTCAAAATGCGCGCTAATTTATTAATGGCTAATGTCAAATTTTTGCTGCCGTCAAATGACATTGAAAAATTATCTAGGATATATTTGAGTGTGTGTGTGTGTGTGTGGCGATGGGTGGGTGGGTGTGTGTTTCAGTGTGTGCTGCTTAATGGTCTGGGCCCCAACAAGTAGGGGACTTTGGCATAAAACAATTTAGATAAGCAAAGTGTGCAAGGCACAGGACATATTTGCACACTCGTTCAGAAATGTACGAGTTTCACTTTCAGCTCTTCTCAGCCGTCGTGTGTTTGTTTTCCCCTGATTTTTTAGCAACTTAATCAGTTAAATATGACGAGCATGTAGCGTTGACAAACTGGCTTTTAGCTTTAGCTCCAATTATTACTTGGGGGTGAGGAACATGAAAGGGACGTGGTCGTTGCCTCCATTCCAAGTGCCTCGATTAAAGTTCAACTATAAAAGTGAGCGAAATGTAAGAGACAAAAGCCACAGTGTTCTGCACTCAAGAGTTGGGCCATAAAAAATGGAGTGTTTAAGTGGGTAACCCAATGCTTGGGGTTTTTATAGGCCAAGTGGACGAGGGCTGGTCACGACATTCACAAGAAAAAAAACGAAAATAAAATAAATACTTGGCCATGTCCAATGCTGGCAGCTATGGAGGGAAGGGGGCGCTGACCGGTGTTGGCCAGAGGCAACCAACAACAAATCAAATAATAAATAAAATAAAATAGTCCCAAATTGTATTAGGGGCTGGCACATCAGGGCGATAGGAATAATGGTGTCTATCTGTCGATAACAATGTATTCTATTATGTGAAGCACAAATTGCAGCTCACCTGTGGGGGACATCAACCAAATTGCTTGTCCTGTGCAATTATAATGTATTTCTTCTACTGCTGACACTTAATACATTATGCGTATCTCACGAATACACACGCACACACACACACTATTTCACAGAAGCTCAGTCATATTTGCGAGTCATCAACATTTAGACGATATGCTCGTCAATAGCTAAACGCACGCCGAGTCGTTGTCCTTTGGGCCGGTTGTTGGGAGTTTGTTTTGCTTTCGCGTAATATACGCAACGAGCACGCCTTTAACTACGCTGTCAATTCAGATTTAAATTGCCGTGAACGGCGTGGAGTGTCCTAACCAGGAGCCGACGTACCCTTATCTGAAACGTATTGCAGCCATCGTCAGGAAATTACTATGAAATTCAATTGAGGAAGGTTTCGCGCCTGCGCATAGCCTAACAGTGAGAGCGACTGTTAACTGCTTAACAGCAAAAGCAAACAGCAACAACAACAGAAGTGTTTACAGTACAAGTTCGAGTTCGAGTTCGAGTTGTTGTCACACTTGTCTGTCATGTGCGTAAGTTTGTATGCAAGTGTATTGCTTGACATGAAGTTAAGCAAACAAAACAAAAGTCAAGCTGTATTCTACATGGCATATAGGGAAAACTTCTGCTAGCAACAAGCGACCTGCTCCATGCTCTTTCAACTCAAAGTCATAAAAATATCAACCAATACACCCACACACACACAGTCTCGTATGTACACACAATTAGGAAATACTGCGTGCTGGCGCCCAAGTCAGGCATTCGAATGTCTTAAGCTGTTGATTTTGAAATCATTTTGTGTGATTATCAAATCATTTGTTACCACCATGAAGTCACTCTCGCAAACTACCCCATAGACGCTAGCGGTGACAAGTTTAAGCCCCGAGAGGGCTCTTTAATGAAATGCTAAGATGTTGGCAATTATGAAAATAAAGCATCTACATAATATCCAAGAGCTAATGTGCGTTTGCTGCTGCTGCTGCTCATCGGGTGGGCTTAAATGTCGTGGAGGTCTTTGACTGACGCCTACGGCCTGTGGTCGCCACTGCGGCTTCATTCAAATGCCGCAAATCCCAGACTGTGCCGTTGACATTAATATCTAGCAGGTTACTGCCAGATAGCTGCCAACCCCTAACGACAGATTTTAAGCAAAGCTCGAATCGGTTTGAGAAGGCGAAGTTACGTTGGCCGATGTTAAAAAAATAAGGAAATTATTCAGCCAAGTTTGACACTAGATTAAATATTTCAAACTTTGACTCAATTCTTACAAAATTAACTTTTATTTGGTCCCCCTTGGAGATGCGAGAGATTACAATCTCTAATTCTACATTAAACATTAGACTTAGCATAATTCAAGGCCAGCTGCATAACATATGGTGAAGTCCCGAGCATCTTTAGAGAATTCAGATATTTCAAGAGATTGCAATATGGTAAAATGTCAACGGCAAATACAAAAATTTCCAATCAATGCTTATAGCTCATGGCTGACATTGCACCTGCCCAGCTAGAACTCGACTCAGATACGAGCTGAGATGTGGGAGTTGCTTCTTTCAGCTGGCACGCTTGGTTGCACATCGCAGACTTGCATAAAAGCAGAAAATCAAAAGATAATCAGATTTTATATCAATAACCAATAACCAGTGGAACTGCCATCAATGGCAATGACTGATGGGGCGTGGCACTGTGTGTGCTTGTGTGTGTGTTTGGACCATGTAAATATTTATGTACTGGAATTCGCTTGAAAAAAGAACAAACACCCATAGACAAGGATGATGTGCATTGTTCGAGGATACACAACTGTGGTTCTGATACAAAGTCAGTCAATGAACTGAATGCGGCAACTGATGAATGCAACTGTTTGCTGTGAAATCGTGCCCCTGATACACACACACACACATACTTGTAGAGCATACAATTGCCGTGCATACAAAGCAATATCAGCCAAGCACTAACGGGATAAAAGACAGGCAACAAGCTTGACTTGATAGCATCAATTGACAATTGAAACGAGAAGCATCCAAGCACAAAACACCAAGCGCGACTGCGACAGTAAGCAAGTGCCTCCCCAAGGAAGGACTAACTGATTGACTGACTGACTGACTAACTGACTGACTGTCGGTTGTTCTGTTAGAGCTGGAAACCAAATGGGTAAGCACACGTGTGACAGTATCTGGCCATCATCATCATGCCGAGTAAGCCCTGGCTTGGAAGATCTCATTAGCACGCAGAGCCGGTTAAACGTTTTGTAATCAAATTAATTGCCCCGCTAGAGATACTGCCGTGTATTCATAATGCCAAACAATTTCGCATTAATTAAAAGCCAATAAAAGTGAATATTATCAAGCGTAGCAAGGCGCAGAGACGTCGGACGGACCCACAACACGGCAGGTGAGCAGAAGCCCACTTCATAAATAACGCGGCGCAAAGCCCTGCGTGGGTAGCTTGAAGAGTAATGGCAACTAATAAAATGACAATTTTTTGCAACAACGATTTAAGCCAAAACTCAAGCTGCCAGCCTGCAGTCAATTAGTCAGCCAGTCATCCAGACAGCCGAATAGGCGGTCAGAGGGTCAGAGCTAGAGCATTGACCAAACTCAATTAGTTTTAATTAATTGTCGCCGCAACGGTACTTGACCAGCATACTTCTAGTTTGCGCTGATTCAGATGGATTGGCAGCGTTCAGCTTTAATGGCGGCTGGCCGGAAGCGAGTCCAGGCATCGTCATCATCGTAATGGCCCGGACGGTCAGTGCAGTCCTAAGACCTACCAAGGCCCAAAATGCGGCAGGTTGAGCTTCGAATCAAGCGTGTCCTGAATGGCAGCAAAGTCACGGCTAACTGAACCCAACTGGGCCCATCAAATATTTACATATATGTTACAGCGTATGTCACGGCGTCAACTGTCGGCGTCTATATATCGATTAAATTGGCCTGGGGCCGACAAAAGTTAGTTGTCCAGCAGTATAATTTAAGGGCATTATTAGTTGGGGCTGAGAAAGGGCATTTAAATAAAGCGACAGGCATATATACACACACCCGCATATGCATATAAATAAATATGTATATTGCTCGACACGAAACTTGCAGTAGAAACTTGGCAGCCACTAAGCGCTTATGCCCATGAGCGGGGAGCGGGGCATGCATGTTAACACCGCCCGGGGTATAGCAATACCCCAAGTTCGTGTGAACGTGTGTGCGTGTGTGTGTGTGTGTGAACCACAACATGTGTCGCCGGGCGTGAACAAAAGTGCTCCAAAAATCACATTACCAAATATGCCAACACGACCCAAGTTTGACTCAGGCATCAGCATTAGCATCACCAACAGGATGCGGCCCGGGGCTAATGCCTTAATGCGCCTAAACTTGCTGTAAATCAGCATGCTTTCAACTAATTTGCCGTCGCCTTAAGCCAAGCCAGGTGTTAAGGCTCCCAAAGCCGTGCAATCGACGTCAAGTGGTCCACATGAACACAAATCGGACCAAATCGCAAACGCAATCGTCGCGGGTTTTAATGGATTTTTTTTTTAATAATATGTATATACGTGCACAAGTCCTTGAGCACGCCATGCAGAATTTACATCAACAATAAAGGATAATGCCTTAAACTTATTTGGGGTAAGAAAAAAATGTATGCAAGCCCACAGGCATTTATAACGTTCATATATGTACATACTTTATGGTCTCTGTGGCCTGGCCCAAGGCATTTGGCGCTGAGCAGAAGAACAACAAAAAACGCGCCAATATATCGCAGCGCGGATATAATGCAATTTGTGTGTGAACTTTTTAATGTAGTTTTTCACACACACACAGACACAGACACAAGCGCCAAAAATATGCACAACGGAACAGATAGCCAAACAGGACGCACATGAGCTTATCAAACATGAATATTTACGTACGCCATCAACAACACACAAAGAACGCTGTACCGGAAGTGGACAAACGAGACGTGAACGATGCGGCAACGCCAGTCACGAGCAGCCAACGAACGGGAACTGAGCGCCATGAGCGCCATGTTGTCCATTTAAAAGGCGCGCTTCCTGTGCAATGTTAAGCTTAACAGCGACTGTTAAGCGACTGTTGTTGTTCGACATGGAACAATGGGCATGCAGAAGGAGTTGTTTGTGTGTGTGGGCCGGCGACAACAAAGCAAAACAAAGTGAAACTTTTTGACAAACTTTTATTGCAATACGTTAGCAGCTGTACACTCACCCCCAATTATATATCCGAGTATTTAATACGGCTAAAAGCGCATGAACATATTAAAATTAGCACAAAGAAGCCAACTAATTAAATAGAATTAATTTACAAAATGCTCTCTGGCGCGTAACTGAAGTAAATAACTAATAAAACAACTAAGTAGTACACAACTCGCCATGGCAGCATGCGGAATCGGTTAGCCGCAGGAGCAAGCACTGACAGTTATTGAATTTCATTACATGTCAAATGCATTTTTTACAATCAAGATTCTATATTGTTTGAGCTGTTAAGTGAAATAGCGTTCCGGTAACTGCGGACAACAAGCAACAAAGCAATAACTGTCCGGTAAACCCCCAAAATGGGCAGGTGTCGGTTAAGCGGCATCTTCAGAGCAGGTCGCGCTCACACTTTCGTTGGTTTTGGGCCACTATAGTTCGACTTTTTAATGGTTGCGACGTTAGTGGGACCTGTGTCCACTGCTGTGTTGGTTCTTGGCTATTGATTTTTACTTTTCAAATAAATTGGTTTCGTTTGTCTGCGCTGCTATTTTGCCGTCGACAGCTGCCCAACTCCCGGCTTGGCTAGCCAAAAACTTTTCTATAGCAATTATTGTTTGAGATTATTTTTCATTCGGTCGCCTCTGGACTGCATTGAGCTGTCACCGCCTCCAGCTCCAGCTCCAGCTCCAGCGGCAAAAACTATTGTTATTAATATAGCCTGTGCATTTCTGGCGAACCAGAAAAATTGCATTCTAAATGAAAAGTGATGTAGTAGATGACCGTCACAAGCAGTTTTCTCTTCTTTTTTTTTAGCATTCAAACACCATGCCCTTCTGCTTAAAGCACTCTAACTGAACGCATCAGAAATTTCATTTTAAATGAAATGCTAAAGATTACGGCCGAGTACCCAAATAATAATAATAATAAACAAAAAAAAAACACCCTTTTACCCCAAAACCCTTTTGCTTGTCATTCTGGCCCCCCACCAAGCCACTTTTAGCTTAATTGAAATGCTTGTATTTTGCCTACCATTTTTTTTTCTAGCCATTTCCGAGTAGTGTTCGAGCCGTGTTATTTTCGGGCATTCGCTCGCATATTTTGCCGGCTACGTGACACATGCCGTTAACATAACCAGGCCCGTGCCCCTCTACCTCCAGACCGGAATCTAGCCAACAGTGACAAAACAAAGCTATTTTTTAAATATGAGCACTTGGGGTTCCATACCCAACGCCGGCGAATACAAATGGTAGCCACTCCAGAGAGAGACAGCGAGAGATCTGTTTGCATTACGACCAAACCACCAAAGGCTGCTGCTGCTACCCAACTCTATCACCATTTCCCTCCTGCAGCCCCTTTGTCTATCTGCGGTTCTGTTGTTATGGGTAAATGCTGGAATTTTATGCGCCGTAGTCGGCTTAATGGTGGACATAGAAGAACAAAAGCAACAATTGGTATAGTTGATAATAAAAATCACATATTGTTGTGCATAAGGTACATAGTTTGTTGTGGTTGCTTGGGCTTATCCACTAGATATCCCAACCAAAATCACCTTGAACAAGTTATTTTATTAACATTTCTGATTGTTATTATACAGCAGGACTAGGCTTCGAATATGTTAACTATCAAATGCTCTGGCCAATGCATATATATGCTGTTGGCATAGAAACAGACACACAGGCATTCATAACATTTTTAAAATAGAGCAAAATATTTTTTATGGTTCTTCAATTGTAAAAAGAGTTTGATAAAAAACACAAGCCCAGAGAATATTCGTTTGTTTTGACAGATGTCTACTTCTAAATCAAAATAAGTTTGTTAGGAAATAAAATTAAAACCCAGCATAAATATGCATATATAAGTATAACAATAACTGATAGCAGCACGTCTATTTGAAAGTGTATACACATCCTGTCCCAAGGATATATATGCACACTCTTGTAAAGCCCAGCACAGCAAATTAGGAACGCCTTTGTCGTCCAGATAGGGCCCACATTTCCACAAAGCATTTATCATCAAGTTGAAAATAAAAATGTTAAATAGAAGTTTTTTGATTACACAGCGGGCTTTGTTTTGCCAGGGAGTCAAACGACAAACGGCAGCATCAGCAGTCAAGCGCGAGCACCTGTGGGAGGCGGGGTGGAAGGTGGTGGAGGTGGAGGAGTAGGAGGAGTAGGAGGTGGAGGTGGAGGAGGGGAGCGGCCGAAACATTTAAAGGGCGATTGTGTTTACCTTTCGTTTCCAGCCCTCTGAACGGCCATTTGCATAAGTGTCGGCAAACGTTAAAAATATTTATGCAAAAATCAAGCAAATATTTGAATTAATTATATATGGAGCACGCACGTTAATATATATGTATATGTGTATAAATTCACGAGTGTTTATTTGTACAAATTTGTGCTCACACGCACGTAATGGACACCCACGCACACTCACCCATACTCTGCTAGCATATACTTAATTTCCTCATGTGCCTTAATCTTTTTAATTAACTACTCATATCCGCCAAAGAGCATGTCTAATTGATATGGGGAGACTCTTGGCTGCTTCAACAGATTCCCATTACCACAATTCGTTGCGTGCGCCGTGTGTGTGCGTGTTCATTTTCCTTTTAGGTTCTTAATGAATTTTCATTTTCTCAAAGAACTATAAAACGCTGCCAGCCAAAGCGTTTGCTTAACTTTTACGTAGTTAAAATAACTGCTTCGAAATCAAATATAACGAACAGAGGTCCCTGACTATAATCTACAATCAGCATATTTACTTAATCATTTTTTATCAGCCTTTTTGCCCTGTGGTTCCACTGTGCACTGCTGCAAGGTGGAATGCTCATGCTGTTGGGGGGCGCACAAGGCAAGGCTTTATCTATGGTCTGCTGGCGGGGTTTTAGTGGGATTCTCGTCTGGCATTAACACACTAATTAAGTTTTGCGCAACTGGTAATGAATTGGCAGGAAACCACGTCAATTAGCACCGGGTAATCTCCAAACTTTACGATTATGTCCAATAGCTTCTTTGTACATATCAGATTTATTTTGATGTGACAATTGATGCTAGAATTGTTTTACTTAAGTTAGGGCTTAGCTCTAAGTCAGTTCGGTGTCTCGGTTAGATTTGACGGGCGCGCACCTCACGATCGAGCAGCTCCTCTTGCGTGGGATGCTGCCGAATGAATTCGATGGCTCTCAGAATATCCTCCGGGATGGGTGGTGGCGTGGGCAGCAGATCTGACTGGGGCTGGAATCCATTTTCATCGGCCACATAGCTTACTTGAACGGGAATCCCTTCGGGTGATATGTAGCTGAAAAATCCCTTTGCATAAACTGCGCCCTGGCCTTGCTCCGATACGACTGTGTTCTCGCTATTCGCAATCTCGTATGAGTAGGTGCCATCCGTCTCAGCCTGTGTGCTGTATTTGGTGATCTGAGCATCTGGTCCTGGCCGGGGAGCGGCGGCAACGCAGGCCATAAGTGCAGCGATCAGGAACTGTGAAGATAAATACATCAGGAGTAAATGCAAAAGTGTTTTTCAAAGACGTTGATTAGACTACTTACAAGCCTATACATGGTGTTGCTGGTGTTAGCTTTGGATGTAGGTCTTAATGTGAACTCTGTGTTCATGCCCTACAGTATTTATAGTCTTCCAAAATATACAAGTCTTCAATATTAACAATAAACGTTCAATATGCAAATTGAGCATGCGAAGTAACCCAGTTTAACGACCTATTTAGTAATATATATATTAGTGGGCCGAAC